TAGAATTATTATCATACAAATGAACATTTATTGAGAATTTATTGTACCACACACTGCACTAAGAGTTTTTCATAAATTTACACATTTTATCCTTATAGTAATTCTATGAATTAGGTACTCCTATGAAGTAGATATTCTCGTTACTTCACTTTATGAATAAGGAAACTGTAGCTCAAAGAGATTGAAGAATGTCCCCATGTTTCACAGCTACTGAGTGCCAGATTCACCATGCAGACACAGGTCTCACTTATCCAAAGCTTACACTCGTTATAATTATGCTAAGATGCTCCCATAGTTTTCCTAAAGTATTGCTAGTGCAAAGAGTATGGTACTGGGACCAGGATTATCAGTATATCTGGATTCTAGTCCTAACTCTCCACCAGCTCACTTTGTAACTTTAGGTAAGCTGTTTCTTTTCTCTGAGACTCACTTTTCCTACTTATAATAGATATGGCATGAACAAATCTCTAAGAACCCTTCCAGTGACAAGGTTTGATGATCCTATAGGCTCTTAGAGGCCTCTTAAATAAGTCTTGTGGTTTCTTGCTGTTCACGAACCCTGTGCTTGAGAAAGGTCCTTGGGACTGATTTTTGGAAACATAATTCTGCAGTTCCATTTCACTGCACTTGCTCCATTCAGAGAAGGTTTACAAAGGCCACTTCTGTCTTGCCACCTGGCAGCAATTGCTTACATAAGCCATTCAGTGCATAGTAGAGAGCTATACTCTTAATGTCAATGCCTAAAATAAATAAATAAATACATGTATAATGTCTGCTCTGGTCCTGGTAAATTGCATTCCACGTAAAATAGCAAATCCATATCAGCAAAATATTTAATACTGGTTTGGAGCAGAAGGTCTGGGCTGCAGATTGAAATTCAGATAGCTGGCAGACAGCCCATTTTCCATATAAGAAATGTGATATGAACCTCTAGCTCCAGGCAGATTCTTGTGCGGGAAGAAGGGTCAACAGGGCAGAAATGGGTATTGGGTGCTAGTATACAGAGACTGTGGTGCCTTTTATTATGCAAACAATAGGAAAAACTATCTCAGACATATTTGGAGGTAAATATTTCATCATTGCAAAACTATAACAACTGTTTTCATATCTGTAGGGCTCTCTGGAGCTCACTCAGATCCAGAGTGGCCTACCATGGGAGAGGACATTTGGAATTCCCTGAGCTTTCTTCCTGTGGCTTGCAGATTTGGGCTGAGTTCACAAGAGGCAACAGAAATGCAACACAAAAAGCCCTTAGACTTGGATTCAGAAGACCTTGGATGAATTCCAGCTCTGCCAAGGTTAAGCTCTGTAAATTTGGGGAAGTTACTTAAAATTTCTGATCCCCTCTCTTTTTCCATTGTAAAGAGAAGACAAGGATCCAAGGGATTAGTGCTAAGATTAAATAAAGAGAAAAGGAGAATAAATATTTATTAAAGCATCTGCTATATCCTGATGTTTTTCTCTACTTTCCTAGTTTGTGACATAAAATAATTATTCCTACTTCTCTATTTAGTGTATGATAATTCTCATTCATTTTATAAAAATGAATCATATTCTTCCCTCAAGAAGATTCAGTCAAGAGTGGGGTTTAAATACATTACCAAAAAAAAAAAAATTAAAATATGACTTAATATGCCATACTCCAGCTATAGGGGAATATGGAGACACAAAAGAATGAACACTAAATTGTATAATGGGACTCAGAAAATTCCTCCCAAAGGAGGAATCAAGGAATCAAGGGAGAAGATGCTTAAAGCAAAAGGGTTGGAAGGATCAGGATGACCACTGGCCTGGAAGGTGTGACAGTGACATCTTTCTAGCACAATGAGGAATCCCCCAGTAGGCTGAATGTGGGTCAGTGGAATGCCTTAATAATCTAATTATTAAGGTATTTGAATGTCAAATTCAGACTTTATTGTTTAAGTAATAGAGATTCACACAGTTTGGTTTCATTGGAAGAGGGATTACAATGAATGTGCATCATACATAGGTGAATGGCAGAAACTGAGGGGTCTGGAGATTAGAAGTCAGAAGAACATCAGTAAAATATTACATGTTTTGCTGAATGATCATTTGCAAGTAAGTGACTTAAACTCCTTGTATATAAATTTCCCTAGACTTTTAAGTGGAGAGAATAGAATCTTAGAGAAACAAGTGACAGTTATCAATTCCACAAGGATTTTGGGGGGAATATCCTAGGGGAAGAGCCTTCTGTTAGGAAATTAATGTAGAGATGTGGGGTTGGGAGTAGAGAATGGAGGAGTGAGAGTCTTGACTCTTTAAAGGTTGATCTACATGGCTTAGAACTGTAGGATGTGTGATGTAGGGCAGGTCTCATTTACATTTTTGGTGTACAGTTTCCCCTTATGCATGGTTGGAGCAGGTTTTTTTTGAGGCTTTTGTCAGCTTTAATATTTTAAGTTTTTACCTTTCAAACTTGTTCTCAAGTCTTTACTTATGGGTACTCTATTCAAAATATAATTCTTCAAACTGGACTTCAACCTTATCTTTGATCCTCTTACCTATCTGGAAATGTTTGCAGAACAGTACATGCATTATCCCAAAAGGCCAAGGTTAAAGGACTTCTCTTAGCTTTGCAATGAACATAGACTATAAACAAAAAGACAGAAAACATAAGTCTCCAGAAGTGTATTACATTTCTGAATTCTCAATCTCAGATCCCATAGACCAGTGGTCCTCCAACCTTCTTGTCAACAGGGTCCAGTTTTGTGGAAAACAGTTTTTCCACAGACCAGGGGTGGGGGAGATGGTTTTGAAGTGATTCAAGCACATAATATTTATTGTGCACTTTATTTCTATTATTATTACATTGTAATATATAATGAAATAATTATACAACTCACCATAAAAAAGAGGTGTGAACAGAAGTGGTAAATAAAATAATGGGCAGGTCACATGCAGACTAAAATAAGTGTCAGAGTCTGACTTAAAGCCTGCCACCAGATGCAGCTGTACTATAGAAGTACATCAATTCACTTGCCACTCACTGATAGAGTTTTGATATGTCTGCAAGCAATTGATCTGCTATGGTCTCTGTGAGGTTGAACCTCCCTGCTAATATTAATCTATATTTGTAGTCACTCCTCAGCGCTAGCAACACTGCCTCAGCCTCATCTCAGATCATGAGGCATTAGATTCTCATAAGGAGCACACGACCAAACCCCTCACACGCACAGTTCACAGTAGGTTCATGCTCCTATGAGAATCCAAAGCCGCCACTGATCTGACAGGAGACAGAGCTCAGGCAGTAATGTGAGCAGTGGGGAGAGGCTGTAAATACAGATGAAGCCTCCCTGGCTTGCCTGCTGCTTACCTCCTACTGTGCAGCCAGGTAACAGGCCATGATCCTATAAGGTGGAGTAGGGATCTCTGCTAGAGACAGAAAGTGTTGGATAAGAAGTAATAGGAGTAGAAAATAGTGAAGGAGATAGGCTTTTACCATGTGAGTAGGAAGTCAATGCCAAGGAGGTGCTTTATTTGTTCTTAAACTGAGCTATGTATTTATGTCAGACATGAATCTGTGAGAACTTCTAACCACAGATGCCTCATGACAGAACAGAAATCTGAATCATGAGTCAGTGAGCAGGACCCTTTTCCAAAGTGGGCTTTGGAAAAATCGGTGTCCTTTAGCATCCTAGTGGTGGGTTTGTGGCTGCCATGAGATTGAAGTGATAACAAGTGATAGTGAAAACAGGAAATGTCCTTGAAGTTAGGAGACCCAGGTTCAAGCTACAATGCAATCACATACAAATTGTATATGGTTCTTAACAACTGAGTTAACCTTTCTTGATTTTCAATGGGCGTTACGATAATATCTACTTCACAGGGGGGTTATAAAGCTCACTTTTCAAAATGGGTTCATGCATTTATTTATTAGATTGATTCAACAAGTACTTGCTAAGATCCTTATATAGCAACAACTGTACTGGCATTAAAGGAGCAATAGTGAGTGAGAAACGTGAAGTCTAATACTGTAAAAATGTAATATACAAATCAAATGTTAATACTTTATGAGTATTAGTGTAGTGGCCCAGAAATTTTATTCATAGCAACCACATGTAGCATCTTTCTTTCTTAAAACAGCTCTGGTCTTCCTTAGAAGTAGGAAACTTGAAAGTAAATGACAGCAACAATGAATTTTATTCCAGACCAGTAAGCTTGGTCCTGTGCTATAACTAAACCATTCCTTTATATTGATGTATTGCTCTTTGGTAAAATTTCCTGATCTCTCAGATTTCTACTTCTCTCCCCTGTTCTCTTCCTCCACATAAAAATAATATCTGGTGATACTGACCTCATGAGAAGAAAGTGGACATTGAATTTGTGGATGTACAAGATGATCTCTGAATTCTCTTTTATTTTAGCTATGAAATGGCTCCTTAGGCGGGAGACCACTGAGGTGTACCAGCCTTGTTCTTGGCCTTCTGAAGGCATCTGCTGCTAAAACCTACTGCTGATACCCAGTGTTTTCTTTCTCTTTCTCTTTCAGTTGATTATGGCCTAGATGTCCTTTCTGGACTCATATTGCCTCTTATCTATGATCTAGCTCAAGTAGTCTATCTCTGACTTGAGGACCTCTTACTATTAAACTCCAGTCAGATTCTCAGATAACTGCTGAGTCTTCTCATGGGGAAACATGAGACTTTCTAATTCCACATCCCACAGGAACCAGGTTGCTATGGGGGCAGCATAGTCCGTCTGTTTTATAAGCCCTAAATTGAAAATAGAACAGAACATCCTCTGAACTCTATTTATCTCCTACTTTTCTGGATGTTTCTAAAGTATCACACCTCAAACACAGTCACCAATACATACACACACTCATATGTACTCCCCCCCACACCCCTATTAAATTTCACACTGTTAAGAAGTAAGGATTTATACTGTAAAAATACACTAAGTCCATGAGGTTTATAATGCTATTAAAACTGAAAACAGGGTAGCCTGACTACAGGTGCCAATGTTTCATTTCTTTCAGTAATTCTCATAGTATTGCTGGGACCTTTAGAAACAGGTATCATTCAATTTTGTGTATGTATGGATAAGGCATTAGATTACTATTCACAAGCTATAGATGCCTGCATGGCACCAAATTTACTTTCAGGAGTAGATGTTATGTGGCAGGTATCAAAATGGAATGATCAATTCTGTGTCTTCTACTGATTAAACCTTCTCATTTGGTTAAACAGCCAGTGTATACCAGAGTTCTACACAGGTCAAAATTATATCACTTTCAGAGCAGCAATACGTGATCCAAGGTTTTCTTGAAGGTAGTGCAAAAGATGCAGTTCATAATGTTCTCCAGACTCAGGAACTCTGATGCTGTGTCCCTCCTGAGGATAGATCTGTAAATCATATGGCTTCCCAGCCCTCTCTAAGAAACTCAGTAATATACTGGTATGTGCAAAATGGACATTCTCATTCAAGAACCCATGTAAGAGTAGTAAACGATTTGGTTCAGAGGGGAGCTTTTCTGCTTGCATGGCCACAGATCCTAAGTAATAGCCCTGCTCATTCTAGTCAGGGTGACCCATGTAACGCTCTGTGTATCCTGTATCATAGAATATCCGCAGAGTGACTGGGGCCCCAGCAATAGCAACCCTGAAGATATCTCACCTCTGCATTAATGCCACGAAGGAGAGGTATCCTCCATAGGACCAGCCATGGATGCCCACACAATCTAAGTCAATGAAATCATATCGAGAAGCTAGATATTGAAGTCTTTCCACCTGATCATCAATTTCTATTTGACCCATTTTATATTTAAAGTCACCTTCAAATTTAAGCCCTCGGTGACAGGATCCCCTGTTGTCTATCACCACAACCACATAACCCAGAGAGGCTAGGGTATTCAAGCGAAAATACTTGACTCCTTTAAACCAATTATTCACTAACTGCACCTGAGGACCACCATATATGAACAGCACAGTAGGGAATTTCTTTCCAGGTTGTGGATTATCAGGCTTGTACAGCATCCCACACAATGTAAATCCAGTAGTACTTTCAAAAGAGAAAATTTCAGGAGGGGTATAGTCAGGAAGAGGACCTGCTGAATCCAAAATGGTGGCCCAAAATTCCTTTGTTTTGCACGCTGGGTCATCTTCAGGATTTGACAGCTTGTAGAGGGACACACAGTGTGGATTCTTCTGGTTACTAGACTTACGTATAAAGAAGTCACAATGCTGACTGATGCAGCAAGAATGGGAATAGCCACGATTGGTCATCCTTGTCACCTCTCCAAGATTTACATAACTGACCAAGTATAGGTGATGCTCTAAGGGGGAGTGTTTAGTGCCTTCAAAATATACCAGGCTTCTGACTTCATCTACCTGGATGTTAGATCCATGCCGGCCAAGAACTTTCCATTCACCACTGGTAATTGTTATTTCCTCTTTGATAGGACACTTAAAATCACTTGGGGCAGGTAGTCCACCACTGGATCATTTATATCTGCTCTCCTTTAAAATGGATGTGATTTTGTATAAATGATGGAAACCAGTTTTGCATCCAGAGGCAAAAATAAATTCAGTTTCATCTTTGTGACTTTGGGGAGAAACATGAAAGATGTCATGGATATTTATCCAGATGTCTGTTGTTTCCTCATAGATAATGAGTGGCGTCACAGAGTCAGGCACCGACTCAATGAGACTCTGCCTTTCCATGGCATCATCTTCTATGGGGATAAATAATTCAGGTGAGATCAACACTATCTGTAGGCAAGTTTGGGAACAATCTAGTAGGATGGACCAAACATATTTTTCCTCTGGAACCCATCCAACTCTGGCTATATATTCAACTAGAATCTCAAAAGGTTGAATTAGTTCCTTGTCTATGACATCTACAATCCTTCCTTCAACATCAATCATTATTTCTGACATCTTAAAAGTGACTTGCTGTGCCTGTTTTAGGATAACGGAATGAGTCTGCCCTCCTTGATTCCAACATAGGGGATGTAGCATGAATAATTTCCACCTTGGATTCATTTACAGTATACTTCTGAGTTTGTTAAAATATGATTTTAGTGATTGGTTTGGTTCAATTACAGAATCTCTTGACTAGTTACAGATCTGATAGCACTTAAATGTAATTGACTAGCTTATGCTTCATTGCTTGGGGTGTATCCAGCATGTTATGAACTAATCACTATTAAACTTGACTTAACCAATCACTAATGATTTTTCAAGGATAACTTAGTGGCCTCTTAAAGACACTTATTTTGGCTCTGACCAGTTTTTGCCAATTTCAACTGTATGTAGTATAAATAATTCTAATTTTTATTTGATGATATGACAGAGTGGGATTTTCCTTTTGCATAAAGGCAAGTAGCTATATATGTAGCATGGATTTAATTAGTCTTATGATACTGATAATTACAGGCAGAAAATTTTTCGATCAAATTATTAGAACTTAAATATTTGCAGGCAAGTTTTTTTTTTCTTTAAGAAAAGGGAAAAGTACATACTTACTCGTATTCTTCAGAAAAGTTAGTGTTGCCAGTTTTCATTTGGTATTTCCTTATTAAAATGTTCCAGAGTTTTAGGGAAGCTGAAGGGAATCACAGTGGGGTAGGAGACTAGGACGTGGGGAATGACAGGGAGAAGAGATGGTGAGAGTTTGCCTAAGAACTAAACAGAAATAGTTTCAACAGAAATACTCATGAAGAAGTTTAAGAAGTGAAATTTAAACAGATTATTAAGGAAACCAGAATTAAGAAATCGCTCTCTTGCCAGCACAGCTGCAGACTAACATTATTCAGGGGAAGAAATGTTCCTTGGGGTTACTTTTATAATTCTAACTTTTTTGTCTGTTACTTTTTTCCTCTTAATTTTAGAAACCTTACAAATTAAACTTCATCCTTTTAAATTGCTTGAACATACTTCAGATATTGTGAGCCTAAAATAAAAAGGTTTACAGACAACCTCTTCACATGAGCTAATCCTAGGCAAACCATGGCTTGCTTTTCTTGTGTTTAAAGCCTGTAAACAGTTTTCTTGAATGGCCATGACATTTCTGTGGTTTAGCCCTAACATTGGACTATGAGGAGAGCTCAAGGCTTCCAAGTGCTGATTGGGATCTGCCCTGTTGGAGTCTTGAGGTGCTAGATCTGTCACATTGGCACCAGTGGCAGGGAAGGCATCTATGAGTTTGACCCTTTTTATTACAAGCTTCGTGTTTAAGAAGTTGTTACCAACAATTTAATCAACACTTTAAGAAAAGTTGCCCTATTTCTTTTTCACCACTGCAGAGAGAGTAGATTTTTCCCATGGAGAATACTAGTAGCCTCCACTAGTAAGATGGTGACTGCATTGGGGTGGACATCACTGAGGACTAGGTGGGAGGTGAGGAGCCCAGAAATGACAGAACTGGTTGGTTCTGTCCTTTGGGAAGGGATTGGTTTTGCTGTCTGTATCTATACTGTATAATAGATACCACACTTTTTCCTTATTGTCTGTGTATGTATTGATTTTCATGTTTATGATATTTTACCATGCCAAGATTTGTTTATATTTTTTTAATGTTAAATTAAATTGATTTGGGTAAAAAAAAAAAAAAAAGAAGAAGTAAGGATTTGAACCTCTGACTTCAAAATCCATGCTCTTAGCCATTATTTTATATAGAGTAGTCTTATTTGGAAGAGTGTGCTGGTATCATTAGCTTCATAAATATAGATGCTTAGAACAAAAAAAAATTCCACAGAGATCACTCATTTTGTTCTTTATTTGAAAAATGAGAAAACTGAGACCCACAGATGGATAATTCATCCAAGGTCACACAGAACCTATAGATCCGAGTCTTTTGTCATCTGGATCTTGGGTACTTCACACACAGAAGCTCTCAGTGCTTGGGAGCCACAACTCATTGAGTTGTCCTTCCTCTAAGACATTAATTTGGATTTGAATGTCAGCTCTACCACTTACTAATTTAAGGCATCTTTCTGAACTCTTCTAAGTCTAGCATCCTTATCAGAAAGATGGTAAAATATAGCATCTCGACTTGGAGTCATTAGAAAGGAGATAAATTATATAAAATTATTAGCAAAGTAGGAATTTAATAGTAGTTTTCTTCTTTCACAATTCCTGGGTGTTACTTTCTGGAGCCATCATAGTTACTGGATTTGAAACTGTTTCTGCTGTGTCAGTCAAGCCCTGCCTGACCCTATGAACATTGCCAGACGCCCGGGACTTCAACCATTGGCAGCTTAAACTTATGATCTCTGGTCCAGTCATGCAGACTCCAGAACCCTGGGCTGTCTGACTTAACTTCTGCCCTGGCATATGTTCTTTTAGTCCTCTGCACCAATTTTGCAGTGTTACTGGGACCTTATGCCTCTTGACCCATTGCCAGTCTAGATTTAGTAACCTTGAGATCTGTGGTGGATACAATGTACCTCCCAGATTCTCCTTCAAGGACAATGTATTGCCCTGGTTCTTGGTTGGTGCACTTAGCAGACAGCCTTCAGCTGTAAGACTTTTCAGGGATTGCCTCAGAAACTGACAGCTGTCCAGCTAATGTCATGCCCCTTTCTGGGTACTCCCCATCCAATGCAGGAAGGAATATGAAGACCTGGTCATTTCAGCCCAATTTGGGACAACTCTGAAAGGCCATTCTAGCTCCAGAGCTCCCTAAGGGTATAGCAAAGGTACCTTGGGTTTCCATCACAGTTTACTTTTCCCTCTGTCCACTCCTACTTCCTTCCCTTCCTTCTACAATTGTTGATCCCAAGAGAACTTTGTAAACATACTGAGTGCTAATCTGTATTTAAGTTTCTGCTTTTTGGAGAACCTGACCTATGGCAAGGTCCCTCAAGTTATACCCAGTTTTCAACACTATCAGTACTAACCTTACCTAACAGATTCTGAACTGTTCCTGCCCACACCCTAGAATGAGAGAGAGAGAGAGAGAGAGAGAGAGAGAGAGAGAGAGAGAGAGAGAGAGACAGAGAGACAGAGAGAGAAAGAAACAGACAAACATAGGCTTGCTGTCTTGGCATCAAGGAAGCCAAAGCCACAAGATCTTCTCACAACTTTTTGCTCCTGGATTGTGTTTCTGTGGAGTCAACTGTCAGCTGGACTTTAATCTCCAATAGCTTTTGTTCTTCTTTCCTATGCCTTACTCTGACAGGTTCTGGACCCTAGGGACACAGGGTTAAATCAGATCCAGTTTTGCTCTGATACAGGGAAACTAGTCAGGGTGATCAGGAAACCCCGTAATGACCTTCCAAACAGACCTAGTGGCATGAACATCCAGAGACCCGGCCAGAGGGTCATCCTATATTAAACACAGGCCAATCATTTTCACAGAGAGTCCAGAGTCTGCCTTTGGAGAGATGGACACCATAATCCTCCATGAACCCAACAGAGAAGTTCCTTATCATATAGTCCAAGGGACTGGAGGGTTTGGATACCCGCTGTCCCATATTGTCAAAACGAGTAAATCACAGGAGGCACCTGATGAGGATCAGATCTCCAACCACAAGAAGATAAGTAAGGGCCAGAAGAAGTTTATGACCTGATGATCAATTCAAAGGTGCAGCAGAAGCAAGCCCTATAGCAAAGAGCATAGCAAGAATACAAAGAAAGGAAAGGGGGTGAGGATGACAGGGATATAGAAATATCATATGCAATCAGAAGTCCAAAGTGGGTACCCAAACAGAAACCAGATACTAAACCAAAACACTGTTCTACCAACATCTTGGGTCAGTGAACAGAGTCTAAAGAGCGACCTCGTCAGGCTCCATCCTCCTCAACAGAGTTGTGGCCTCATTCAGAATAAACAGATTAAACAGATTCTTACCTCCTAGGAGAACGCAGATGGACTCAGGAATTTTGAGGCAATGGGAAGCTGGTGGTCATTTCAACTCCCTCTGAGCCAGATGAGAGGTCATAGGGCCTTGGAACATTCCAGGAAGAGGGCCCTGGAATGTCTCAGGGGGTGCCTCCCCTATACCTCCTCCACCAAGCTGGGGAGAGTTGGAATGAGGCCACCTCCTGAGGTTGATGACATCTTGCTGGGGCTTCCAAATGTTATAGCCAGATTGTGAACTCAGATCTCCAGAAAGGAGATGCCAACACAGTGGGTCGGATTATGAGTCCTTTAATAGCTGGGAGTTGAGAGTGGCTAGTGCCAAAAGATCTCTTGACCCCGAACAGAGTGAGCAGGGGGTATATAAAGGCAGAAATTATATAAGCTATACAGTTTTAATTACATTTTCTTGGCAGGACATTTGGTTGCAAAAGGGTACAGATAGCTATGGAATTTACAACTAGGGAGTTTCCAAGCACTGAGGGGAACGAGAATGAGGGTGTGTGGTGTGATTATGGGAAGGTTGCACAAGGGGGTTATTTCTAGGTCAAGATGGAAGACCTATTAGAAAATGGAGTTACTTATGTCAAGCAAGTTATTACAGGCTATTATAGGTTTTTCAGATAGATATTTCAAAGGTGTCATATCTAGAGTGAGAGGAAGGTATTACACAAATAAATCATATGAGGGGGACCCAAAAAGAACCAGAATTATTTTTTGGAAGGTGGGCCCCGGCTTCCTCTACTAGGTAAGTGTTCTAGAAATCCATCAACATCAGTGTACCAGCTATTATTGTGGAAAACTGTGTTCATCTTCAGTTAATTTCTTTTTTGGAGATTCTTTCAATGTGTTTGCCCATTTCATGATGGATAAGTTACAAGCGCACCTGCCCACACCATGCTGAGTGTTCAGCAGTTTTTAACCAAAAACAGCATGACACCCATGCTCCACCCTTCCTATTCACCCAGTCTCATTCCGAGCAACTTTTCGTTGTTGTTTCCCCAGTGGAAAAAAAAATCCTAAAAGGAAAACATTTTGCTGATGTGGAAGAGGTGAAACAAAAAAATGGCAGAAACACTAAAAGGCATCAAAATTGCCAAGTTCAAAAAACTGTTTTGAGCAGTAAAGTGAAAAAAGTATCTTATAGGTTTATTGCATCAAACAGAGTACTTTGGGGTAAGTGAAGTTTAAAC